TTAAGAGTTCAACTTTGAATCAAATAAATTCAAAATTTTAAAATATGATTTTTTTAAAATCAAATTAACATAGTAAAATAAGAATAATATCCATCGTTAGAGAAGCCTGGAGAGGCAGGTACTACTGGTGGGAGTGTACAGTGGTATATCTCCTCTGGAGGGCAAACTGGCAATACATTTCAAAAGCCTTAAAGATTTGTGTATCTCACACTCTGTGGCCCGCCAATTTATACTGATCAAAATATCCTACTGATCTACACAGAGGTTGTACCCAAAGATATATTTATAAAGATATTATTTATAAGATAAAATAGATGGACATATATATCTTTATCTTCAAAAAGTGAGCTGGTTCAGATAAATTATGATACAACTGCATCATAGCCTTTAATTATGGTCATGTTGTAAAGAATATTTATTGATGGGAAATGTTCACTACATCAGGTTAAGAAGAGCAAGCTATAAATAATCTAGACTCAATATTTTTTAAAAAAGTAGTCACACACATAAACATAAAATGCTAAAAAGAAATCTCTATACTAAACAGTCAGCAATGATTATATCTCTATATATAGGATGAATGATTTTCTCCTTCAAAATCAAAAAACAAATTTTTTCCAACTTGGCTTATACTGACCTCTTAAACATTCTATATTGTGACTTCTAATTACTCTTCAAATGGCAATGACTCCTACTACTTCTTCTAATATCTATTTTTTAAAACTTCCTCTTTCAAGGTTATGAAGAGTGACATCTCTTTTAATAAGTCTTAAAAATCTCCAGCAAGAAGGTGGAATAAGAGTTTTCTGGCTCTGGTCCCCCTCATAGAAATCGAACTAGGTACTGTCCACAGACAAGTATACCATGAATATCCCAGAACTCAGGAGTGAGCTGAGACACTCTCTGGGATCACAGAACTGAGAAAACCTGCATTAGAAGGTTAAAAGGAACAGCTTCACCCTGACGGTGCCACCCCTTTCCAAGCCAGTAAAGTACCACACAGAGAGGAGTCCCCCGAGCCTATAGTTTCTACCATAGAAAAAGAAAGCTGGAGGTGAACATTAAGCTCCCCAGTATTCTGGGATGCTTCTCAGGAAGCCCACTTTTGTATCATTCCATGTGTTCCTACAGGGCTAGACCATCTGGGGTTAGCAAAAAACAAAGAAGGGGGATGGGGTTCATAGTGGCTGCAGCACAGATCTTGGTAATGACTACATTCCTGTCAATGGAAGCGCCAGACCAGAGAGACCAGTGAATAGCACTGCTTTGCAGAAAGCACAGTGGACAGGTTTGCCAGGGCTGAGTCCCTACCACTATCACACCCAAGCTTTCTCCAACCCTTAAGCAGAGTCTCAATTCTCTGCTTAAAGTCTTCCTAGGCCAGGAGGCAAGTATGCGTTAGCACATAAGTGTAGAAGAGAGCATATGGGTAAGAACTGAGAGGGCGAGTGGAAACAACACCCAGCCTCAGTACTCTGCTTATGGTTACCCCAGACCCAGAGGCAAGTGCACATTAGCGTAAATCTGTAGAGGTCAGCATCTGATCCTGCCAGGCTCTAGTGACCCTGCCTAACTTCACAGCTGTGTATATAGTTTCCTGAGGCCAGGAGGCAAACCTGCATCCCTGCATATCTGCAGAACACAGTAACTGGCCCTGCTCAACCTTAGCAGTTAAGCAGTGACTCCACTCAGCTTTGGAGTCCAGCCTGAGGTTCTGCCTGGGCCCAGGCAGGGAGGCAAACCTGTGACTGCATACTGTGGAGCAATCTCTAGCCCTGCCTGTCCCAAGTAGTTGAGCAGCAAACCCAGCAACCTTGAAGTCAAGCCTGCAACCCTGTCCAATTATAGATTCTAAACAGCAGTAGCACTCAGCCAGGGAATATGGCCAGCAACCCTGCCTAATCAAAGGTAATTGCAGAGCCCAGCCAGCAACTCCACCTGACCTCAGAACCCAGTCAGTGGCCTCGCTGTTTGATGGAGCACAGCCAGTGGTTTCACAAAACCATGGAGTACAGCCAATAGCTTCACTGACCTCAGTGCACCAGCAGCAGACCAGCTACAGAACCCAACAGCAAGGTCTGCCTGCCTATGGTCACTACTCGATGGCCAATCCAGACTCTCAGGCTAAACAGTGAAGGTCTACCCCCTTCACCTCAAGTGAGAGGGGTGTAGGGCAGAACACTTGGAAAAGCTGGAAGAGATGGCCACTTCAAGCGCACAGAGACCAATGCAAGGATACAAGGATGATGAAGAATCAGAGAAAAGTGACACCACTAAAAGAAAGTAATAAAGCACCAATAATGGACTCTAAAGAAATAAGACCTATGAAATGACAGACAAAGAATTGAGAATAATCCTCTCTTTAAAATGTTCAGGGTACTACAAAAAAATACAGAATAAAAAATCACATGAAATTTGAAAAACAACAAAGTAAGTTTGACAAAGAAACAAATTTTAAAAATGAAATAGAAATCTTAGCAATAAAAAGTACAGTATCTAAATTGAAAAATTCAATAAAATGCTTGAACAGTATACTTGATCAGGCAGAAGAATCAGTGAGCCTAAAAGAGGACATTTAAAATTATCCAGTCAGAAGAGCAAATAGATAAAGAATGGAAAAGAATGAAGAAAGCCTACAGGTATTATGAGATATCACCTGAGAAATAGGAGTGTCTGAAGGAGAAGAGAGGGAAAAATGACCAGAAAGCATATTTAGGAAAATAATGGCTGAAAATTCTCCAAATCTAGGGAAAGACACCAACATTCAGGCACAGGAAGCTCAGTGGTCTCCAATCCAATTTAACCCAAAGAGTTCACCAAGATATATCATAATCAAACTGCTAAAATTCAAAGATAACTGTTAAAATTCAAAGCAGCAAGAGATAAGAAACATATCACATACTAGGGAGCTGCAATATGGTTAACAGTGGACTTCTCAAGAAAAGCTACCTGTCAAGCAATAATACTTTATCCAACAAAACTGTCCTTCAGTAATGAGGGAGAAATAAAAACTTTCCCAGACAAATGCTAAGGGAATTCAACATCAGTAGGCCTATCTTACAAGTACTGCTAACACAAATTCTTCAAACTGAAGTAAAAGATCATTAATTAACACCATAAAACACATGCAATTATAAGACTCAATGGTATAAGTAATACATAATCATATTCAGAATACTCTAGTACTTTAATGGTGGTATGTAAAGCAATTTTATCTTTAATATGAGGGTTAAAAGACAAAACTAATTAAAAATACCTATAGTTACAGGATACAAACTAGAAAAAGACGTAAATGTTGAAATAGAAATAATAAAATGTGGAGGAGGGAAACAATTTAACAGAGTGAAGAGACAAGCCATGGTGTGGGAAAAATACTTGCAAACCATACTTGATAAGGGGTTAATATCCAAAATATATAAGGAACTCACACAACTCAATATCAAAAAAATCCCAAATAACTCAATTAAAAAATAGGCAAAGCACCTGAGCAGACATTTCTCAAAAACACATTTAAATGGCCAATATGTCTAAGAAAAAATGCTCAACATTAGGGAAATGCATATTAAAACCTCAATGAGATATCATCTCACGCTCATCAGAATGGCTACTATAAAAAAGATGAAAGCTAACAAGTGTTGATAAAGATGTGGAGAAAAGGAAACTCTTGTATACTATTGGTAGGAATGTAAATCACTACAGACACAATGGGAAACAGTATGGAAGCTCCTCAAAAATGCATAAACAGAATTACCATATGATTCAGCAATGTCTAGGTACATATCCATATATACATATACATCTAACTATCTATATATACATATATACCATGTCCAGGTACATATCCATATATACATATACATCTATCTATCTATATATACACACATACCCGGAGTATGGGCATTGCAGCATTATTCACAACAGCCAAGATATGGAATTAACCTAAGTGTCCTTCAATGAATGAATATTTCTTTATAGAAAACGTGGTATATAAACATATTGGAATACTACTCAGCCTTAAAAAAAAAAAAAAAAAAAAAAACAGGAAACTCTGTCATTTACAACACGAACAAACTTGGAAGACATCCATATGCTAAGTGACATAAGCCAGGAACAGAAAGACAAATACTGCATGACCTCACTTGTATATGGAACTTTTAAGTTGAACTCATAGAAGCAGCAAGTAGAATAGTGACTACCAGAGATTGAGGGTACAGTGGATGTAAGGCAGGGTATGGGAAATCAAGAGATGTTAGTCAAAGGGTACAAAGTTTCAGTTAGATAGGAGTAGTAAATCTGTGGGTTCTATTGAATAGTAGGGTGACTACACTTTTTTTTTTTTTGAGATAGAGTTTCGTTCTATTGCCAAGGCTGGAGTGCAGTGATGCAATCTTGGCTCATGGCAACCTCTGCCTCCTGAGTTCAAGTGATTCTCCTATCTCAGACTCCCAACTAGCTGGGACCACATCTGGCTAATTATTATATTTTTAGTAGAGACAGGGTTTTACCATGTTGGCCAGGCTGGTCTTGAACTCCTGATCTCAGGTATTCTGCCCACCTTGGCCTCCCAAAGTGCTGGGATTACAGGCGTGAGCCACCAGGCCAGGCCTAGAGTGACGATACTTAATAATAATCCAAAATTGCTAAAAATAAGTAAACTCCAAATATCTCACTCTAAAATATGATAAGTGAGATGATGGACATATTAATTAGCTTGATTTAATTATTTCACCTTGTTTACACATATAAAAACATCACTGTACCCCATAAATATAATTAAGATAATATTAATTTGTCAATTATGATATTAATTTTAAAAGAAGTTAATGAGTTGTTATTAAAACACAAAAATATGTTGGAGAAACATATCTTTAAAGGAATGCTGTAATGAATAATGACCCACTAATTAATTTGATCAGACTGCATACTGAAATTTTTATTTATTTTCAGAAAAGGAATACATATATTGAGGTTTCTTTCCAGTTTTAACAAAAACATTATTGTTGATATAGACAAAATCAGAGATAAATAAAGGAAGGAAGGAACACTGACATTTAAAAAAGCTTAACTTCTGGAAATTAATAGTAATTACTAATATTTTTATGTATAAACAGAATTTGACTCACCATTGTCTCTGAAATTAAAAGAAAAATCTCTGTAAGTAAAGAGATGTGAAAATGTTAAAATTTTAAAGGAAGGAATATGAGCACCTAAACAGTGACAAGTGGATATATTAATGTTTCTATTACACATAATTCAGCTAAACACACTGATTTTTAATACTCAGAAAATTCACACATTTCATAACAAATGCAGGATTCTTTCTAGACTACTTATAAAAATATATTAACTTAAATAACGTTGAGTACTTGTAAGAATGCTCTTTGAAACTATTATAAGAATATTCACTACTTATTTACTGAAAATATTAATTTTCCTCACATTTTAATGGTTTTATAACATACGTTATAGTAAAATCTGAAAAAAAGGATAAAGGTCCATTTCGAAATAATTGAAGGCTTGAGAAGGAAAAGAGAGATGGTTTGTGGTACTTCTTTAGACCTTGTACATGTACCGTTCAGTCCCACCACCCCTCCCAAAAGTCTGAGAAAGGCATTCAGAAATTTTACAAAATCTCTTTTCTGAGAGATTATTTAAAACACGCATACGAAAACCATATGCCTATCTGACTAAGGTGTGTGACTATGGGAAGAGTGAAGGAGTAGAAGTGCATGTAGATTTATTTGTACTGTCGGATGCTGCTGCCTTACGCTCTAAAGTCAAAAGTAAAATTAAAGTGGTCACAGCAACCCATCTACAGTACTGGAGAAGTTCCTAATCAACTGAATTGCATATGATGTCACCAAAGAAATTATAAATCAACAATGTGGATGAATTTAGATATAATTAAGCTCAGAGACTTTTTGTTTTTTAATTTAAAGAACAAAACAATGGCTGGGTATGCTGGTAATCCCAGCACTTTGGGAGGCCAAGGTGGGAGGACGGCTTGAGCCAAGGAGTTCAAGACCAGCCAGGGCAACATGGTGAGACCTTGTCTCTACTAAAAGTAAAAAAAAGTTCATCATCACTAGTCATTAGAGAAATGCAAATCAAAACTACAATGAGATACCATCTCATGCCAGTTACAATGGCAATCATTAAAAAGTCAGAAAACAACAGATGCTGGAGAGGATGTAGAGAAATAGGAACGCTTTTACGCTGTTGGTGGGAGTGTTCAACCATTGTAGAAGACAGTGTGGTGATTCCTCAAGGATCTTGAACCAGAAATACAATTTTACCCAGCAATTTCATTACTGGGTGTATACTCAAAGGATTATAAATCATTCTACTAGAAAGACACATGCACATGTATGTTTATTGCAGCACTGTTCACAATAGCAAAGACTTGAAACCAACCCAAATGCCCATCAATGATAGACTGGATAAAGAAAATCTGGCACATTCTACCCTGGAATACTATGCAGCCACAAAAAAGGATGAGTTCATGTCCTTTGCAGGGACATGGATGAAGCTGGAAACCAATTCTCAGCAAACTAACACAAGAATAGAAAATCAAACACCATATGTTCTCATCATAAATGAGAGTTGAACAATGAGAACACATGGACACAGGGAGGAGAATATCACACACCGGGGCCTGTCAGGGGGTCTGGGGCTAAGGGAGAGGTAGCATTAGGAAAAATACCTAATGTAGATGACAGATTGATGGGTGCAGCAAACCACCATTGCATGTGTATACCTATGTAACAAACCTGCACATTCTGCACATGTATCCCAGAACTTAAAGTATTAAAAAAAAAAAAAGATAATAAAAGAGAGAGGAAAAAAAAGGTTAAACAAAAATAGCTGGACACAGAGGCGTGTGCCTGTGGTCCCAGCTACTTGGGAGCCTGAAGTGGGAGGACTGGATGAGCCAGGGAGGTCGAGGTGGCAGTGAGCTGTGATCGCACCACTATACTCCAGCCTGGGTAACAGCGAGATTAAAAAAAAAAAAAAAAAAAGTACAAAACTGACATCAATGAATGTACTTAGAATTTTGAAGCTGTTACTAAATCTTTAGGAAATGTAGGGATAGTGCTAAACTCTACATGAGATACCGTGCTAAGCCTTCCCATCATGTTTTTACAATCATTTGTAAGAGTGCAATTAATCTGACAGGTGAGCTAGTAGTCAAGACGCAGGATTTATGCCCAGCATAAAAAGGTGCTTAACAAAAATGTAAAAAACTGATAGGAAAATTCTTGAGAGTCTTACAAAAAGGAGAGCAGCAGTCTATATCTAATGTTATAGACAGAGCCTTTGCTGAGGGTCCGTAGTAAGCCTTAAGAATTAATGAGCTTTTTCAGTTCCTATACTTCTACATTAGGATAAATGTTAAAAAAAAAAAAAAAGCTCCAATTATACTTTTTCATTCTGAATATACAATGCAAAGGGCAGACTGCATATTATTTTGAAAGAATGAGCAGGTACAAAAGTACCTCCTACACAGGTAGAAGAATCCCTCAATAATGGGGCATCTTCATTCAGAGAAAAGCTGTCCTCTTTAAAACAGGAAGCAAAGCTGAAGAGGGAATCCAAAATCATGGCTCTAGTCCTAGCTCAGAGCTCAGACACTAACTAGCTGTGAAAGTCAGGTAAGTCCCTTTTTCCTTTTCTACTAATTTCTAGAAAAGTTATACTGTCACTCTGAAAGATTGTCATGTTTTTGTTACCAACTTTCTTAGTAAATACATTGCACATGCTGAATGTCAACATGTGCAATGCATTTACTTAAAAAAAGACATACCCATACATATGTCAGTAAAGCACTGGAATAAGCTTTTAGCTTGTCAATGTGGATATTGAGCAACTAAAATTATTTTTATATAAGCTTCACACATATATATTTGGAACATAATACACAATAAATGTTTGTTGAACAAACGAATGAATCCATCCATTTATCCATCTACCTCCCAGGTAAAAAATGATAAGGTTTACTTAGGCTACATTAGGCATGGAGTTGTTACCATTACTAAAGCCACTCCATGTGTAAGAGGAACATCTGGCTAGAAATTAAGAGATGTGAGTTCTAGTCCCAGCTCTGTTATTAATATTCTTCTAATACTTAATTTCTGTGGCCTCAGTTTGCCCATTTATGAAAATGCAGATACTAAAATCTTCCCTCCATAGGTGAGGACAAATAAAATGATGTCTTTTTTCAAAGACAGGACTTTGAAAAAAATCGAAGTACTTTATAAATAAAAGATATCAGCTTGTGATCTCATATCCACAAAGAAGCTGAATTTAGGAGTATGAAGAAAAAGATTGTGAGAAGAAAAGAAAACTACCAGAGAACTATATCCTCCACTTCATCAGGTTTTCTGCTTGGGGCTAAGAACTGTCCCTTAGGGGATGGAGGCAGCAAACCACATTACCATGTGTGTACCTATGCAACAGTCCTGCATGATCTGCACATGTACCCCAGAACCTAAAGTACAATTAAAAAGAAAAAAAAAAAAAAGAAAAGAACTGTCCCTTAGAATGAAACAGATGCTCATAGTAACTCCTAAGCAAACTCCCATGGCACTTGACCATGTTGACTTATTTTTTTCTTTTCTTTCTTTTTCTTTTCTAAACAGACTGTATACCATATATATCTTTTACAAAATAACAGTTTATTGAAATATTATTTATTTATTATTTTTTTTGAGACAGGGTCTCACTCTGTCACCCAGGCTGGAATGTAGTGGCAAGATAGCGGCTCACTGCAGCTTCAACCTCCTGGGTTCGTGCAATCCTCCCACCTCTGCCTCTCCAGTAGCTGGGACTACAGATATGTGCTGCCATGCTCAGTTAATTTTTGTATTTGTTGTAGAGACAGGATTTTGCTGTGTTTCCCAGGCTGGTCTCGAACTCCTGGGCTAGGGGGATCCATCCACCTCAGCCTCCCAAAGTACTAGGATTACAGGCATGAGCCACTGCACCCAACAGATATAATTTACATACCACAAAATTTACTCCTTTTAAGTGCACAATTTGGTGGTTATTAGTATATTCACAGAGTTGAGAACTGTCTCTAATTTCAGAACATCTGCATCACTCCTAAATGAAACTACCCATTAGCAGTCACTTCCCATTTGACACCCCTCGGTTCCTCCAACCTCTGGCAACTACTAATCTACTTCGTGTCTCTATAAATTTGCCTATTCTGGACATTTCGTATAAATGGAATCACACAATATGTGGCCTTTTGTTACTGGTTTCTCTTAATGTAAATGCTTGACACTAACAAAGTTCTCACCCCAAAATTATTCCTCAGAAAAAAGGGGACACATTCCTTTGGATACCTTACAAAGCCTTTCATAAGAAGGGACATTCTATTACTTTATTTTGAATGAGACTGGTATAAGCCAATATTCAGAACCTCTGACTAGAACCTAATCAATTATAATTCTATATGATTATAAAAAGACTTGCTTTTCCCATTGTTAAAAGTTTAAATGCAAATATCTTATGAAATATAAATGTGGGAAAAGGGCAGTATTTTCATATGAACAGATTATTAATTTCAAACACATTTATAAAACTAAATTAATAAATTAAATGTTACATATATATTACTGTTTCATCTGCTTCCCTGCAAGTTTATCATTTAAAATGAGGGGAGAAATTTAAACTTCAAAATGGATCTGTTCATTGAAAACACAAGGAAGATTGTTTTATATTCAAGATGATTTTATATCTGAAACTTCTAGGATCATTCAAAGACAAGGTCAGATATGCTTATCTTCAGGCCTAACATCACTGACTTCTCTCCTAGAACTTTAAAAAGCAGTTGGAATCCAATTCTTAGCAAATATCTCAAAAGAAAACTGAACTTTGTAAGTAAATATCATAGAAAAATTGAATGAGGTAATTTTATTTTAGAAAAATACTGTTCGGGAATGAAGTGATCTTAAGGGCTATTGTCAACCCCCTCACTTAACTTATGAAATAAGGCTGAAAGAGGCTAACTGACTTACCCAAGATCATATTGCATGAGGGCTTGCCATGCTAAGTGCTATTCATGAATGATTTCTTAGTTTCCCACAACTGTATTCATTTCCCTACTTTATGGCTCAGGTTTAGAGAAGTTAAATGACTTGCTCAGTTACTCAGCTAATATGTGGCAAAGGTGGGATTCAAGTCAGATCTCTCTAGCTTCAGAACCAGGGGGCTTAACCGTGTTGCAATACAAGTCTTCAGCTTCTCATCAGAAAACCCTGCCCAGAATCACATGGTTTAAAAAAATCATTTAGCCAGGTTTGACATTTCTAAACTAATTTAATTGGAATAGAATAAAACATCACTAGAAATTAGCAAAAAAAATTGGCGAAATAAGAGAAAAAGATATGGGTGAGATAACAGGTCTGGCATTATTTTGAAGTTTATAAAAATATCTAAAAATAAAAAAAGTCATGGGTTATTCAAAGGAAGTCAGTTTTACCTGGTTAATTCTCTTAGTCGAGTCACCTCAGCATCACGCTGACGTAATGTTATCCCCAAATCTGGTTTTCTTTTCAGCAGTTTCTAACTTAAACTGGGAGTTTTTCACATTGACTAGGGCTTCCTCCAATTCTAAAACAACAAAAGTTTCAGTTTCCTTATTCCTTTCTAAAAATGTGACCATAACTACTGTGTAAATACGTACCAATTTTTATTCTTGTTATCTCAATGTCATATTGCTGTTTATTTTCAAGTATGGTTTGATCTTTGTCTTTAAATATGCTAGTAAATTTTTTGTTTGCATCTCTCTGATTTTCAATCACTTTTAAGAGCTCTTCATTCTTACTCTGCAGTAATTCCTGGCTCTTTAGTGACTCCTCCAATTGATTTTGCAGTGACATATTCAATGACTGAAGAGAAAACACTGTAAGACAAAATGGATCAAATATTTGTTTCCCAAACCTAAAAAGTACAAACTTGGAAAACATCTGTTTCAAAAAAAAAAAAAAAAAGGCCTGAAATGTATTGATTTTGCTTAACAAATAATTGCATGAGTAGTTCTAAGCAGTTCTATATAAATAATACATATAGTTTTAAAAATTGATTGGCAGAATTCATAGCTTTCTTTTCCAATTAACATTTTAAGCATTACTTTTTAAGCCTTTTAAAAGAGAGAATAATACATAACCCTTTTAAAAGAAAGAATAATACATAATCCCTTTAAAAGAAAGAATAATACATGTACAAAGTTAAAAAAAATTCAACCACCACAAAATGTCAATAATACCATATGATCCCAATGAAGAATCTCCCTCTCACTCATCTCGGTCCCCAGAGAAAATCACTATTAATTTTGATATCTTTCAGAAAAACACTTTTGCATGTGATATTACACACACTTCACACACACATGCACACACCCACAGACACTATACAGTTTCTAATTTTGCCTTTTTTCCCCATAAGACCATTGCATACAAACACATAGATCTATCACGTTCTATTTTTATGGCTATAAAAGTATATGGCACCATTTATTTAGCAAATACATCCTCAGTGAATACTTACTATGTGTGAGGTATTGTATTAGAGTCAGAATATACACAGATGAATAACACAGACATGGCCCCTGTTCTCACGGAGCTGATAACAAACAAGTAATTATAAATAGTAATGATCTCAAAGAAACAATAAGATAAATGAACAGATAATATAAAGAAGAGAAGCTATTTAAAGAGGCAACTACTGATCTCCCCATTTGTCCTCTAGGCCTTCTCTCTCCTACCCCCTCTCCTCACCTTTGGTTAACAATGGAGCCAGAGTGATAATTTCTGAATTATTCTGATGAAATTGAACACTTTCATGTTGGGTAATCATATTTTTTCTTATTGCTTTATAAGATATATTTATATATTAAGAAGATTAAGCCTTTGTCATGCCATGTATTGTTTCCCCATTTTGATTATATGTTTTGAATGTATTTATAATTTTGCTACGTAGAAATTGAAAAAGTTTTCTGGGGACATATTTTATCAATCTATTCTTCTGTGGCATCTGAGTCTTTTCAGGCTTAAGAAAAGCTCCCCCCACAAAAAACATTCTCATCTTTTTTTCTGGTACTATTCTAATTTCTTTCTTTATTAAAATCTGTGATCATTAAGGACAATTAGGTAATGTTTGTCACAATTGCAACTGTATACACCCTTTGGTTCGGCAATTCTACTAAAAATCCATACTACAAAAATGCTGGCTAGGCGGTGTGGCTCCTATCTGTAATCCCAGCACTTTGGGGGGGCCAAGGTGAGTGGATCACTTGAGGTCAGGAGTTCAAGACCAGCCTGGCCAACACGGTGAAATACTGTCTCTAATAAAAATACAAAAATTAGGCAGTCATGGTGGCAGGTGCCTATAATCCCAGCTAATTGAGAGGCTGAGGGAAGAGAATCACTTGAACCTGGGCAGCAGAGGTTGCAGTGAGCCAAGATCTCACCACTATACTCCAGCCTGGGCCACAGAGTGAGACTCCATCTCAAACCCCACCCCCAAAACAAAACCAAAAAAAAAGCTAACATGGTGCACAAAGACATATACAAAGATTTTCACTGAAGTGCTGTCTGCACTGGGGAAAAAGGGGAAAAGTACTATTAGCAGAGGACCATCTTATGGTAGACCTGGATAAGCAGAATACCCAAGTAAATCTTAAAGAGAAAAATGCACAATTACATATTTTGATAGACAAAAATGTCCACTACATATTAAATAAACAGAAGCTGTGGAAAGTATATACAGTGTGATCTCATTTCTAAAAAAGTACATATATAATTCTATTTGTGCCTGGCACACAGTAGGTATTCAGTAAGTATTTGTGAAATAAATCAATTACATATGAAGAGAAGACATGTAAAAGAAAACACGTTCCTATTTTTTTTTTTTGTTGTTGTTTTTAAAAATAGGTGTATGTTATTGGGAAGTGATAGCATCTTTTATTTTCCTATGTTTCTGTAATATTTTAAATTTGTCCTCTCAGACAAAGTAATTATGAAAGCTCAATTCTTTATCAACATTTCCAAAGCCACAAATAATTTGTTAATCCTTAAAGTTCTTATACCTACATTCAAGATTGCAATCTGCAGCACCAGATGGCTTATGAGTTTTCTCTTGTTCGCTGAGTTGCTGGTTCAAAATTCTCAACTGCCTAAAGAAATAATGAAGAACTATGAATGCAAGAATCCTAGGCCAATTTAATATTATACATTACATAGCCTATCAAAAAGGATAAAAGATAAACCCACTAAGACGGCAGAAGTCCATTCATCCCCAAAACAAATGACAAAAACTAAAAAAAATAAATAAATAAATAAAAATAACAAAACTGAAGAGAAAACACTGTAAGACAAAATGGATCAAATAGTTGTTTCCCAAACCTAAAAAGTACAAACTTGGAAAACACCTGTTTCAAAAAAAAAAAAAAAAAAAAAGCCTGAAATGTACTGATTTTGCTTAACAATTAATTGGAAAATAATACTATTATTTTTATAAGGCCTGAGATAATTTATAAGGTTGCCTGAAACAACTATTATTATTATAATGCCTGAGATAATTTTTAAGGCTGCCTGAAACAACATAAAACCTCCCCTCATGAGGAAAACATTAATTTCTCCATTTTGTCTCTTTTCAGTGATTTGGGTTTTTTTCCTATTTCTTTCCTTTCCTATCTCCTCTTGCTGTTTCTCATCTTCTTTCTGTGCATCTTCATCACTGTAGTTAGCCATCTATTTTTTAAAAGATTTGTCATTACCTATAGGCACTGACTGCTATCAGACATCTATCTGCCTGATGTTTATCATATGCTGAAACACAATTTTATGCTTCTAATAATTTCTTTATTAGATGGAAAAGTTAATGGTCTTAAGTTACAAGAATATTAACAGGCTACAAGTCTTCCCTGTTACAATGAACTTCACAATATGGATTTGCTTCACGAATAGAAATATACAGAAGTGTTTTCTTTATTCCTAAGAAGTCATCACTTAAGGGGAAAAAAAGTTACCTCTATTATCTTTCCAGAGTTACTTATCTAAAAATATTTTGCCTTAAAATATTTATTTTTGGTACTGAACCTAAAATAATAGTACCCTACCTCGCATCATTCGCATTTATTAATTTTAAGTTGACTAAAGTGAAAAAATATGCATACAAAACCCAACTATACAAGTTTCAGGGGAAAATCCACATAATCTTGAAGTGGGGAAGGCATTCCTAAGTGAAACTCAATATCCAGCAAGCATCAAGGAAAATAATGAAAGATTTAGCCATATCAAAATTTGAAACGTTGTAGAAGTAAAAGCCTGAAAGAAAACACCTGCATATATATTACAGACAAGGGGTCCATAACGTTTAAAGAACAACTCCAAATAAGTAAAAAAGGCAATCTAGCAAAAAGTGAAAAAGGATTAGAATGAGCAGCTCACATAAGAAATAGAATGGCAATAACAGAAACATCATGAGTTTGGGTGGGAGTCAAAGATTTCTGGGATGGAATTTCAGTTCTGACATTTTCTGGTGTGGAATCTTGGGCAAGTTACTAAGCTTCTGATTCTGTTATGGGTGGAAAACTTGCACTCCCAACTCCCAAGGCTGCTGTGAGGTATGAGATTCCACCATCAATACTCCTGGTATGCAGAAAGGGTTCAATAATTGCTAACTTCCTCTCACCCTTCTTATATCATTTTAGTAGCAGTGCAGCTTGTTAATAGTCTCCCGTCCATAAATCTATTTTGACAGGATTGTGAAGCAAGATTACATATGGGAGAAAAAAGTAGATTTGACTTCTCTGTAAACTTAATCTGGAACCAAAGAACCCACTCAGCTCTTTTAACAAGACCTTCCTTTTTCCCTCCAAAAAGCAATTACACTCTAATGAGTGGTTTTAAGTAACTAGATCATTAACTGGATTTTCTAACTTGATTTCTTAGCAGATAGAGAAACAAAAAGACTGCTCTTTCAGAAACCCTGGTTGATTTCTTCCCAACCAGGAGCAAATAAAATTCATTATTTACTCAAGCCATCAAAAGTTTTGGTTAAAGGACCATAAGATCAATAAATACACGGGCAAAAAAAAAAAAAAAAAAAAAAGAAAGAAAGAAAGAAATAGAAATGGACTGTAAGCATATAGTAAAAACACTCATCTTCACTAACATGAAGAATTGCAAATTTCAAAGGAGATATTTTTTGGCCATAGGATTGACAAAAATAAAAGGAAATAACACTTTCTAATGAGAGCACAGGGAAATTAAGTATCTCAATTCGTGTGAGTATATCAGTATAACCATTCTGGATGGCAATTTGAAAATGTCTAACAAAATGTAAAATGTTCATAATCTCTGACAAAATTATTCTACTTCTAGGTTATCTAGCATCAGAAACAGTTTTACTTGAGCAAAAGCATCTCCTACCTTGTAGATATATACAAGGTTTCTCACAACAGCAATTATTTAATAGTGAAAAGTTGGAAACAAAATGTTACATAAATTATGGTACATTCACATATGAAATACTAATACACAGATATTAAAATGAGCAAGAGGTCCATTTATACTGAAAGGAAAAGATCTCCAAGACACACTATGAAGTGAAAGCAGAAAGCTGTAAAACAACAGTATAATATGAACTCGTTTTCATTTTAATAAAGTACAACAGAAGCTTTCCTTGATCATCTTTTTCTATGTCCCTGTTCAGATTCTTCTCTTCCCAAATGTAACCAATCTAAACTTCTAATAATTCACCGCAAGCCTCTCATTCCTACCCTCCTCTTCCCAATTGTAAACTTTCCTTTTTTCCCTAAAAATCATGGTTTGGTGACAAATACTGTCATCCTTTGGTCCCAGGGCATATCCATATGTGTACTAACACTCATTTTTTCCAACTCTTCTGGGTGAGTAGCCTCATCCGTCCCCTAGATCCCATTCTCCTCCTAGACCACCAAGGACTCTGCTCCTATCCCACTCCCTTTATTGTCTATTATCTGCAGCTTCTCCCTCTTTACCACTTCATGTGCCTGAGCCAAGAAACATATTAAAACTCTTCCCATATTAAAAAAGAAAATCCCTCTAACCTAACTGTATAACTAGCTACTTTCATTCCTCTCATTCCCTGCTTTCAGGGATAGGCTTAAAAAAATTATTCTACTTAAAATGATACCTGATAAAAATAGAAAAAAGGATATTTTAAAAATTGATGTTACACATGCTATATTATGTACTAAGTTTAAGTATACTGAATTTTAAAAAGGTAAAGAAGAACTGCTGCTTTTTAGATAACTTGAGATAAAACTGATATACTATAAACTGCATACATTTAAAGTGTATCATGCTATGTTCTGCCATATGATGTGGTAAAACCACCATTACAATTAAGATGTTCATCAGCAGTCATAAAAAACAATGAGACCATGTTTATTTTGCAAGAACATGAATGGAACTGGAGGCTGTTATCCTTAGCAAACTAATGCAGAAACAAAAGCAAATACCATGTTCTCACTTAGAAGTGGGAGCTAAATGATAAGAACTTATGAACACAAAGAAGGAAACAACAGACACTGGGGTCTGGGTGGAAAGAGGGAGGGGAAGGTGGGAGGTGGGAGAGAAGCAGAAAAGATAACTATTGGATACTGGGCTTAATACCTCAGTGATGTAATAATATGTATAACAAACCTCCTGTGACACAAGTTTACCTGTGTAACAAACCTTCACATGTACTCCCAAACCTAAAATAAGTATTTTTTTAAAAAGATATTCATCATCCCCCAAAGTTTCCTCATGGCCCTTTTCATAACCCTTTCTTCCCAGACAAGTACTTATTTATAGTTTGCATATTCTGGAATCACATATGAATGGAATAATGGAATATATACTCTTTTAGCCTGGCTTCTTTCACTCAACATAACAATTTTGGGATTCATCCAGCTGCTGTATGTATCAATACTTCCTACCTTTTTATTGTTGAGGAGCATTCTACTGCATGGCTATGCCACTATTTTTTTAACCATTCACCTGCTGATAGACATTTGGGTTGTTTCCTATGAACACTCATCAACAAATTTTTGTGTGGATATATGCTTTGACTTCTCTTACATAATACCTAGGAGTGGACTGGTTGGATCACATGTTAGGTATATGTATAATTTCTAAGAAACTGCTGAACTATTGTCCAAAGGGTCCAAATTACTTTACATCCCCACCAGTTAATTGTGAAAGTTCCCATTCCTTCACCTCCTAACATTTATTAATTAATTTTGAATTTTAGCCATTTTAATGGGTATGAAGTGGTATTTCATCATGGTTTTAATTTTCACTTTCCTAATCATTACTGATGGTAAACATCTTTCCATGTTCTTATTTGATATTCATATTTGATATCCACTTATCTTATTTGGTGTTCTGCTCAAATATTTTGCCCATTTTTAAACTTGATATTTAAAAATTTATACTGTCTTAAATTTTTTATACATTCTAGATACACGTCCTTTATCAAATACATGTTTTGCAAATATTTCCTCTCAATCTGTTGGTTACTTCTTCATTTTAACATTTTAACCTGTTATTTTTAATAACAGGTGTTTTTTGTTCTTCAAACAAGCATTTTTAATAACAGGTTTTTTGTTCTTCAAACAAAAGTTTTAAATTTTGATGAAGTCCACTTTATTTTTTCTTTATATTTTTTGTGTTATATTTTAAAAATCTTTCCCAATCCAAAATCCCTAAGATTTTCTCCTATATTTTCTTTTACAAGTCTTGTAGTTTTAGTTTATAAATTAAAATCTGTGATTCATTTTTCAAGACAATTTTTGTGTAACATATGAGGTAAAGGTTGAGGTTCATTTTTCAAAAATATGACTCTCCCATTCTTTCAGCACTATTTATTGAAAAGAGTATTGTTTCACAATTGAATTTTTCTGGTATCTTTGCAAAACGTGATCTCTATGTGTGAATTTGTTTCTAGACTTTATTCTGTTTCAATGATTTATTTGTCTATCCTTACACCACATGTCTTAGAATGCTATCCCTTTATGTTTCGAAATTGAATAGTACCAACTTGGTTCCCTTTCTCAGCACTGTCTCGGGGATTTTAGATTCTTCGAATTCTCACAGAAATTTTAGAATCAGCTTCTATTAAACATTAAAAAAGCATGCTTGG